AACACGTGCTCCTACTCTACACTGTTTCTTTTCATGTCCGCTTCCTTCTGTCTTGTATCAACCTGTAACAAGGTCCGATGTCATCTGTGTTGGATGCTACTAAGCACTTAAAACTGAAATGAATGTTGGTGATGTTGCAGACGTTTTGCTATTGATGTAGTAAGGGACTGAGTCTGGAGCTCTGGGCATGGCATCAGGAAACAGGCAGACCCAAAATAAAACTAAAATTTTTGCTGTAGTCCACGTTCTTGATGTAACCTTGAATGCATTGCTATTTTGTTTATATGTTTCTCATAGGCAAAATTAGATCAATATTAATTCAACTATGGTGTAGAATTGCTTGTCTGTCTGCAAGAGTTAATAAGTAAATGTCTTTCCAGAGTTTGAGTGGTTTATTCTATGAAAGTTCTACTGACTATATAAAATCAGGCTACAGTTACCAAATTAGACACGAGCACCTACCACTCGTAGAAATTGTTGAAAGTGCTATCTTTCAGATCACTTTATTTGTGAAATTTTGATGATGCCCTTTTTCACAGCAGCAGTGGAAGTAATTTGTGTTTGTTACTATCGATGACTGTTATCCTGGAAAAAATACAAATTGCATAATCAATACAGAATTAACAGTAGAGTTAAGTAAGATGCAGGCCAATATTTTGAATGGAGGAGATAAAATATCTGACTTTTAGTTAGAAAAGCTGTTTTGGGGAATATTTGGTGTATCCTTACGACATTTTCCCCTTAAGTCACTGATGTAATTATGCTTCATTATAAGTTTAAATTTATGTTACCTTTCAGAATTCTCTCTTAGTTTTTTTCATGGCGCCCAAGGATGCAGAAATTAAGATCCAAGCAAGACACTGACCCAAGAGTGCATTTTGAGTGCATATGGATACATTCTTAAATGTAAATCCATGACATATTATAGAAACGGAAAGAAAATTTCTAAGTGGGGAGTCTTTCACCAGTGTCTGTACCAGTGTGTCCATTCCATTGCCAAATCAATGCAATGGATGGGAGCAATCAATGCTCCCTGACTATGCTCCTTTGAGTTTTTTAACCTTTCAAGGAAATAACGCTTTTAAAGCATCACTAGCTTTCTTCCCGTAACCATCAGTTTAGGAATGATCAAATACAACTGAAATGTACAGTTAAAATATTAGTATTTAACTGCTAGCATGGTAACTCCTAACAGTGTCTTAAAGGGTACAGAGATTTTTGTTTTGACTTGGTTGATTGGATATATTTTTCCAAGTATCCATCAAAGTGGGTTGAAATGCATGCCACTATTTCCTGCACAGATTGTGTCTAGGGGAATGATGTCTTGTCCTACTGATTTTCTTCCTCCTTTTTGGGCTTGTCTTCATTGGAAAAGTAGTGTTTCGTTACAACATTATCTCAGAGACTCTGATAACTACTAATGTTGAGCCTGACTCCACAAGCAGATTAGATAAGGGTGAATGGTGTTGGCCATGTTGTCTGTATGGAGATAAACCTTACACAAACCTCATAGAGGCTGTCTCTGACTAGCAGGTTCTGTGCTAAAAGTAACACAGTCTTTTCATGTTGTCCACTGATGATAATTTTACTGTTTTTTCTCTGAAAGACTGGAGTAGGCAACATTCTTGTTCCTTTGAATGAATGACAGGATATATTCAAATTAAATTTCAAAACTGTCCTTAGAAGTCATTTGTTATACTTGTGGCTTTAACTCTGTTGCTCAGCTGTGAATGAGTAATATTTCCTGTTCAGTAAGCAAGAGACTATAAAACTTTTTTGTCTCTTATGGTTTCTCTTAAGCTTTTCTAGAAATCCATGTTTCAGTGATCCTTCCAAATGAGACATGACATAGGAGAAATATGGAAATACTATTTTCTGACCAAGCAAGCTAGCTGAAGTGTGAGGAACATGAAATTCATAAAGTGTATATGAGCATGGTCACAATCTCACATGTGGTACAGAACCACAATGTCTTTATTCCTGACTTTTGCCTTCTCTTTGATAGGGATCATAGATGCTGGTTTTCTTCCTTTTTAGAACTTAGGATGCTGTCTTTGAACAAGATGCAAATAATGGATTTTAAATACCAGTGGCTAGCGTACTGAGTACCGTATTAGAGTTAAGACAAGAAATGCAAATATACAATCACGAAATCTATACTTGGCATAACAAAAGCATAGCTTAAAATATGTGCTGAAATTTAGTGATCAGTCTAGTCCTTGGCCTTCCATGGTCTTGTGGTGGTCTTGCAGATAGACGATGGTGAGCATACTGCTATGAGACATGGGTCCTTGTTTGTTACAATTTCAATGTAGATACTGAGTTGTGTGATTCATCACCACCCATGCTATTCTAGGGAAGTTTAGATGAGATGTGAGAGATTGCTTAGCTGGTGCAAGTTTGTCCCTTTTTCACTTCACTTGCTCATTTGCCTTGTGTAAGTAGAAAAATAGGGTACAAGGTAAGGAAACCCTTTCTGAACAATTGTAATAGAGGAAGCTTCAGTTCCACAATAAAACTGTAATATATTTTAAGCCCACCTGCTCTTAAGTTGTATTTAATCAAGTCAGATAATGCTTTAGCTACAAACAATTTTGTTGCATAGTCTAGAGGAAGTTCTGTGCCTTTGGTTTGCTTTGCTGTCAAGAATAAGAAAAGAGCCTGAAAGAATTTTAGAGCAGAAGTAGTGTTTTTGCTGATGGATTCAAAAATGATCGTTTTATGTGTATTGTGAATAAAAAAGTCTAAGAAAAATATTTATTGAATCTCCCATTGCAACTGCTAACCTTTTGTCCATATAAATAATACTACACTTGGAGAGTAAGAAAGAAATCAATTTGGCTAAACATTGTGTGATTTTTAGGCATTGTGGTAATTTCTGTCCAGTGTCCCTGTGCTCCTTCGCAGCGGGCACAGTTCTCCCCATAGGCTTGTCTGTTACCTGTCTGCGCAGCATGGATCTGGGGTTGCCTAGGCCAGCAAATGGGACTGGCCTCCCTGGCCTAGGTGCCTGAATCTGCCCTAAGTGAGACTGATTCTGATTTCTGTTGCTGTACAAGCAGTGATGTATGTGAAGGTATTTTGTTTCAACCTGTCGTTGGATTTCAGGCGAGCTAACAAAATTAGTCTTAGCTCCTTTCTGAATTCCTCTGTGAATTTAAATGTATTATCTTTTAGTTGCATTTTCAGCTGTCCTAATTTTATGCCGTTGGCCTGAGAGGCAAAACAGTCCTGTTGAGAATCACATTTTTTCTGCTCCAAGATACAGTTGTTAAGATAGCGTTTTTGTTCTATCTGGTACACTGCCATCACGAACAGGGGCAGGTATAGAGAGGATTTAAAGGTAAGGAAATAGAATCACAGCCGTCTTCACCTATCATGGGAATATGAAAAGCAAGTTACAGTGGGAGGAGGTGCCAGCCTTTCATATCTGTATTTTCCTGGAGGTGATTGAGTGACTGGAAAGTAATGGAGCAATAGGTACTAGCTGAGTCCCTATACAGCACTGGTGCTAAGAAAGGGAGGACAAAGTGGAAAACAGAGCAGGTTGGTGCAGTGGGAGGAGGTGTGTGTGATCTCTCCTTTTAGGCCTTCTGTTCTACTGCTGCTCTCGGGGGTCTGCACTACCTGGAATTAAAAGCAACCTAGCAGTTGGCTGTGGCATGAATGATCACTGTGTTGTTCTAAAGTTGCATTAATTTTGTTACTAATTCCTGAGTCATCCTTTCTGAAATAGCAGATACATTACTGTATTTCATGCAGCAAATTAGTTTCTCTAAATGAATAGAAAAGATTAGACTTTCACACATACACCAGGATATCTGGAGTGCAAAATTACCCAGTCCTTAAAGAATCAAAAGCCATGCACCAAAAACATTGCATGTAAACCATTATTTTGATGTGTTCTTCTGTAACAGTGCTTTCTGATAGCCATATAAATTAACACTGATTATGAAGTAATATGTCAGTAAAAAATTTTTTTTTTTAATCTGTGTTTTTCTTTCAGGGCAATTAAAGCATTTCAGGAGGCGCTTTATGTTGATCCCAGCTTTTGTCGAGCCAAGGAAATTCATTTGCGACTTGGGCTTATGTTCAAAGTGAACACAGACTATGAGTCTAGTTTAAAGGTAGGTTTAAGTCCTTTCAGATTGAATTAACATTTGTTACAAGTTGTGTTGCATCTTGAAACTGCAAGGAATGCATAAGTGTATAGCAGTTAAATACTACCTGCTTTAGAAATGGAAGTGCTTCAGTATGAAGTATCTTAGTCTAAAGGCAGAGTAAGGGTAGGATTTGAGGTGTCTTAGGCTAGAAATGTTCAGAAAAGCCCAGCAAAATTGTAGATGTGCACTACTCCAGAAGTAGTAGGGCGCTCATTAAAATAGTAAATTTTTAGGGGGAGGCTAAGGATGTACAGAAAATTGGAAGAAAAAGAAAAGAATTAGCAGCCTGAATTTCTCTATGATCTTTGATTATTTTTTTCCACCCCTCTAGCTGCACTGTTGTAAACTGGAAGTTCTTAAAAATTATTAAAAGTAGAAAGCTTTTATGCAAAATAATGGCCTCATATCAATTTTTTATATCACTTCTACTTTTCTAGTAGTTAATCATTTTATTTCCTGGTTTGAGAGTCTGCCTCTTAAGGCAACAATTTCTGGCCAATCAGTGAGAAATGGTTTGTGTTAATACAGTACTTTGTTTCTTCTGTATTTTTAAAGATTTTTTTACTGCTTGCATTCTTTTTCGGTCTCTGGTTATAATATCTGTCATTTTATCTCCCTCCATTCAACATGTTTGCTCTTTTTTTTTTTCCCCCCCCTCCTTCCATTTCCTACTCTGTCCCCATGTTCTTTTCTTGACCTCTAAATTCAGGTATGTGTGTCTTGGAAAAAAAAATTGTTCTTTAGTGGAGTTTTATGTGCTGGGAAATATACTTGTAGGGCTGAGAATTTAGTAATTTGTGATTAAGTGTAATTTATAAACATGTTTCTGCATGTTAATCTCTCCTAAAACTACTGAAAATGTTAAATGTTTTGTTTTCAAGAATCTTGTGGCTTCCTTTTCCTAGCAGATTGTTTTCCTGGAAGTTGTATTTGTGATGCTATCATTGTCCAAGATCTGAAAAGTATAGAGTGCTACTCTCAATTTTTCCTTTCAGTATTTGTAATAATGGAAAGCACTCCTCTCATCAGGCTTCTTTTTTTCATATGGAGCCCAAGCTTTCACTTAGAGACATTTGGAGTTGGAAATTGTGATTAGAGATGATGATATTGCATAGGAGTAGGACAGATCCAGTGCAATGAATGGCAAAAGAGAGCAAGGGGAGGTAGAGGTAGATCATGTGCGAGTTTGGGTGGTCCTATTTCCTTATGCTTTGGTACAGATTTAGTATCGGCTATTGTGATATATAGGGAATAAAAGAAGTGTTGAAGAAGTACATTTTGGTTTTATTTTTAAAGAGGCCAAGGACAAAACAGAAGAGTAAATTTACAAGGAGGTAGTAAACTTGTAAACAAGTAGTGGAAGGAACTTCTGCATTTTTATTTTTAATAGAAGAAATTGATCAAGAAATAACCTTTTCCTGCTGTGCCATGAAATCCGTAATTCTATCACTGAATCAAGTATTTAAATAGATAATATGATAATTCAATCTAAGGAATTTACTGTGTTTGATCTTCATAACTTTGCAAAATAAAAAGATCACTCATCACAAGGATTTTGAGTGTACCAAACTTTTAGTTTTCAATACACCAACTAAGAATGGGGAAAACACCAAAGAAATATGTTAAAAATGGGAAGAAATTAATCTTTTGTAATGCAAAGTTATCATGATTCCATTGCTTTTATGTGCAATGTGATTAAGTCACTTAAGAAAACAAGTGGCAGCAACAAAACCAGCTTACCCTGGACCACAATGAAGATCTTCAAAAGGAGGATGAAATGAACATGGGGGGGTGGGGGGGTTGCATTAAGGATAGTTCCGCATTGTCCTTAAATCAATATAACTGTAGGTTGTTCCTGAAAGGTTGCCTCATTTTCCACCTTGCAATCCCGATGGCATTGTTCAGCACCCTCTGCTGCATTCAGTCAAGTGATATGTTTTTTTTATTCCTGTTTGTGGACTGAGGTGCATCAGAAATCTGAACCAGCTTAATTTGAGATTGCCCAGTTTGCTAGATCCAATGCAAGGTAGATGGCCAGAGTGTGTGAATGGGAAGGTGGAAGTAGAGCTGTCTTATCCCCTTCTGGTGCAAAATATAACATGAAATTCTATTCTGGAATTATCAACTGAAGCACGTAAAGTAGAGCTTTTGGTTTGCTTCCTTTGCCGTGGAGGTTGCAATCCTTAGCAGAGAATAACACTGAGGAGCAAGAAAGAAAAGACCCAGTGGGGCAATCATAGAATCATAGAATCACTTTGGTTGGAAAAGACGTTTGAGATCATCGAGTCTAACCTTTAACCTAACCCTGCCATCCCACCACTAAACCATGTCCCTAAGCACCTCATCTATCCTTCTTTTAAATACCTCCAGGGATTGAGGACTCTACCACCTCCCTGGGCAGCCCATTCCAGAACCTGACAACCCTTTCAGTGAAGAAGTTTTTCCTAATGTCTAGCCTAAACCTGCCCTGGTGCAGCTTCAAACCCCCCCTCGTCCTATCATCTGTTACCCAGGAGAAGGGAAACCTACAGCCTCCCGTCAGGCAGTTGTAGAGGGCGATCAGGTCTCCCCTCAGCCTCCTCTTCTCCAGACTAAATAACCCCAGTTCCCTCAGCTGCTCCTCGTATGACTTGTCCAGACCCCTCACCAGCTTGGTTGCTCTCCGCTGGACATGTTCCAGCATCCACTCGGTCTCAAACTGTTTCAGCTGTTTTCAGTTCAGCTCATCTGTGGATTAAATGTAGAGTCCTGAGACTGATCCACTTTGTTTGAAAACAAAATAGTACTGATTGAAACATACCAGCTTATACATCAGGGTGTATCAATTGAGGAGTAGACTAAGTAGAACAAGCAAGGCAGTAGCTTCTTCAAAAACCTGACTGATCCCAGAGTTGAAGTTTAAAAAAACCCCTTAAGCCAGAACTCTGAGAGCAACAAGAATATGAGAGGCAAGTCAGAAAATACTTCCTTAGTGAAGAGAACAAAAGGAAGTGCTGGTGCCGTGGTTATGCACAAGCATGGGGAGAACAAAATGGGGAAGAGGTACGATGAAGGGTACAAAAGGATGTTTTCACAGAACATCTGTCTCATTCTGTGAGACTGAGTATCTCGTTTCTTCACAGAAGAAAGATAAGTAACACAAAGTAATGAAAAGACACAGTTGTCATCTTAAGCCTTTTCTGGTTTTGTTGACCTTTTTAAAAGGATCCAGGATTTTAGAGGATGGTTATGGGATTTAGGATCCAGCCTGCTAATGACTGGCCTTGAGCACAGACCATTTCCCTGGGGCTCTGCATAAACATAATTCATTGCCCAGTTTGAGCTTTGTATTTGACACTGAGGCAGAAAGTGGAAGTAACTTTTCATCTGGTATTCGCTTGTGACTGTTCTGGAACTTACAGATTGTACCAACGTTGCATTAATGTACTTCGAAATATCATAATATTTTTGATGGTATTTAAACATTCATGTGAAGTCTGTAATTGCTAAGAATAAACCATTGCCAACAGATGAGTCATTGTCAGTAAGAGTCTTCAGGCAAAGGGGGAAGATGGGAGTCTGAAGGTCATATATTCCATGTTTTTCACAATTTTAGGCCATTAACATAAATCATCTATATTTTATGTAAGCAATTTAAGCTCAAAATTAATTTTTACTATTTTAAGATGTTGATGATCAAGATAATTACTAGAGTGCTGTTTAACAAGCATAAAATCAACTCTCTGTGTTTTTTCAAAATCAATTACTGCTTTTCCATGTTTTTAACATTACTGCAGTTAAGACTTGCAAATTACTATGAGAACCCTTGACTGCTCTGTTATCCCATTGCCATAAACTCTGGCAAGAACACCAGTGCTGTTGAAAATTACTTGGCCTTCAGGCTTACATTAAGGAAAAAAAAAGTGGCCCTTCTGGTTGGAAAGAAAAGTCCTTGTGTAACCTGACAGGGCAGTGTTACCTTCAGAGGTGATACCTGAAAGCTGAAATTGCCCCATTCATCAGAAAAGTACAATTAATTCCAAAATCAACTGGCAATGACTTGGGGGGGGGGGGAGAATTTTATTATTGATCACTATAGCAGCAACATACTATTAAGGTTTGCCCAACAGTCCTAACCTTTTCACGCTCTACTATGTGTCTTGCTGCCCACTTCCTATTTGTTATTTCCTACAAACGACACTAGGAATACTGGGTTTGATGGTATTAGCTGTGGTGGCACCGTGATAATCTGAAAGAAGAATAAAGCAAGATCTCTACAAATACAATATATCTATTTATTGGTTTGGTAAATGTAGTTGGAAAAAATATTCAAGCTTCTGAGTACATGCCACATTATTTCTGGCATGCCACTTGTTATCCTAGTTGTTTTCCTGTTTATTGAACATATTTTTTCAATTTTAGCCTCCTTTTTTCATACACGTGTGTAATCGTCCTGTCTTGTGTGTCTCAGTTCTTCACTTAAGTACTTTTGAATCTTAACCAATTTTTGGCAGGCACATCAGAAAGAAAGAGATTTCAAAGATAAGTTCCTAGGACATTCCTGTGCAACATGTTGCCCCAGAGCCATTTCAGCTCTGCAAGCTGAGGACCAGGGGATCTGGTCGGCTTGATCTGCAACCAAGGCACCAAATGACTGCTCGTGGGTCTGGTCTGCTGGAACGTGAAAAATTCCTGTGAAGGGAACTATCCCATCCACACTGGAGTTCCTGTGCATCGGGCAGCCCTGATGTTTCTTGTCCAGCTGGAAGCTGAACACAGAGCTAGGTGGAGCACAGTGGGGGAGCTGGGTGTGCTGTGCAAGACCACTGACATGCATAAAAGAGAAGCTGAGGAAAAAAGGAAAATTACAGCTTTGGTATTATTTAGTTTGATAGTTGGGTTACATTGGAAACGGCAGCTATGGGAAACGAGTCTTCCATCTGGTGCTCATTCTGCTTGGTGGTGTTGAAGTATCATAGTGTGCT